ATGACCCAGGCAGTGCTGGAGTTATCGGGCGGCCGAGAAGGTCTGCGGATGTCTGTGAGATACAACTTCTGTTTGCTCCCGTGTCTATCAAGGCTTTGAACGTACGTCCGTTGACCTGCACTTGAATATAAACTCGGTTATCAGAAGAAAGCAATGGGTCCTGTATCGCCATCACTGTTCTAATAGTGTTAACAAATGTGAAGCTCATATCTGACTCAGACACCCTCACATCTCAAGCGCGATCGGCTACGGACTTTCATGCCCCGTGGGCGTGGTCTGGCTCCGGTGTCATCTGCTCGAAGTCTTCCGTAAGTATCGTGTTGACGTGTACCTCTATAGCTTCCGATAGTGGTACCAGGCCGTCGTCCTGTGTAATCGCATTCACCTGTACTTGAGGAGTCGGATGCGTAGTTATCGAATCTCTACTCTGGGTAGTGTTCTGCCCCAGTCCCGAGGTTGATGCCGTGGTCGGTCTGTGTGCCGATTGTACGTCTCTCGATGTGCGGTTGTTGTCGTATGGCCTTGCTCGACCATCCGTACCCCCTTGTTGCGACGCCCGGAAATGATGACATCGCGGAATATGTCGTGAACCTGGTGGTGCTTGTGCCTGACATCTAGCACAAGTCGTAGGTAGTGACGGTTGGAGACGTTGAGTCCAGTTCTGCGACTGTCGTCGAACCGTCTGCGGGTTAGGGCGGCTATTGGTGTAGTCTCGTCCCCCGTTGTTCGGTAGACCCTCGCGATTATTACGGTTCTGGAGTCGCGCCGTCGTACGCTGCTGTGCGTCTTCATCAATTGCCTTTTGAGATGCAATTGTAGAGTACGTTCATACGTCCGGCCGTTGAGAGCTTTCTCTAACAGCTATATGATGCAGTGGTTTGTTAAATTCTGTTGGAAGTCTGTATCCGTCTGGCACCGTTCACGTGCCCTCCTATGGTTCTCCATGAGCTGCGTCATTTGCTCCATAATAGGGGTGTGCATATTCCGACTGTGACCCTTGGCTAACTTGCGGAACGCGGGATCGACAGTGGCTTGTGTCTCATGCGAGCATATCTGTTTGATTTGTAGCTGTGGCGTCCACATCTTCAAACGTTCAGAGTTGTCGCGGATGCAGTCCAATGGTGACTTCTCCGCCTTGAAGTAGGACAATACTTTATGGAACCATGTAAGGCTCCAACTCTCATCTAACCTTGCGATTTGCGCGTTCTTAAACGCCTTAAGGAGAGCCCCTCTCGTATCCCGTTCCATGATATCGTGTAGGTGGTATGTATTCGACGGCCAATCGGGCCATGTACGCTTTTCCACTGGACGGGACTCTAGCGTAGCTCAAAGAGTTTCGATCGCACCCCTATGAGCTTCAGCTCGGCCGTACTATTATTCTCGATTGCCTGGCATAGTTCGTCGCTCAAGTGTAGTATCCGTGCATGTAGTGCTTGTCGGCTTTTCTCAATACTAGCCGGTGTGGGCGGAGGCACAGGTGTGTCCTTCTCCTGCCGTTTGGGTGTCTGTACATACTCCCTGGCTGCTCCCTTCTCGAACGACTGTTGTTGCTGTTGTTGGCGAAAGTTCGCACTTAGCCGATCCTGCATGTTCTTCAACGCCTCACTCTCGTGGGAGTTCTGCTTGGCTAATACCTGTTTACGTGCGAACTCCTGGAAAGATGGTGTGTCCTCAATAGAAGATAGAGTCTTCTCCCCCTCGGTCGATCGACCCTAAAAGCACCCGTTCGTGTGTGCCAGTAGCTTTCTCGGTGGCAGCCAACCCAATTGTAGGCCGCCCGGTAGTTGTGCGCTGCAACCTCTGTTCATACTTTTCTAAGAGTGACTGCTGTTGCGCCATTAGCTCAGTATGTTTCTGAGCGGGCGATTGGTCCTGTACCGTGTCTTTATTGTTGGTGCGACGACGGTAGAGTCTACGTTTGTTAGGTGGAAGGCGTGGTTGGTCATTACTGGAGTATAAGGCCCCTGAAGTACCCGAAGACGAACGGGTGGACAGACCATTACTAGCTACATGTTCACCAGTAATGGTCTGACTCCGGTCCGCACGCAGGTCGGGAACTCCCTTGGTCTCACCCTTGAAGACAACGTGGTCTCCTGAATGGACAGGTTCATCTTCGTGTGCCGGTGGTGACTGCTTGTCGTCAGCGGAAACAGGGTGTAGAACCTCTAGACGTGCCTGTTGTTGCCCCCTCAGAGCCTGTCCTGGGTGTGGATCAGAGCGGTCCGGATTAGATTGACGACGTTTAGTCTCACGTCGGTCAATATCATTTTCTTTGCGACGCTCAGGGTTCAGGTGTTGTTGTCTACGACTTTGGCGGGGATTGGACATGGTCGGGGAAGAATCTTTCAACGGAGAACTTGAAATGTATGCGAACGGACTCGGAGGGAACTGAATATAAATACCCATTTCCTAACAAGAGTCCATCCCTCAAACACATAACGTCTCGATGGTGAACCTCGAGGAACCACTGGGCTCACTCGTGATTACATTATTTCACTCACAGACCCTAGTTGTATAGAGAGTCGAGACTCATCTAACACTAACTGATGTCTTACTCTCCTTTGAATAAATACCTCGTTGAGGTATACCCCGCTTGTCGGAACATCCCTTCAACCTTCTCGTCGGTTGCTCCTGCTCCGACATGGGGTCAGCCTAGCCTCGGTACATCGTCGCGTACTTTATCTATTGCTTCTGACTGCTCTTCTCACTCCCCTGACTTCGTGTCCTCCACTCGTGATGGCCTTGTCATGTGCCATTGCGGTTGTTGGGTTGTTTATGATCCTCGACCTATGACATATTGTTAGTTGTTGCGCTCCTAAACTACGCTGCAGCAAGCAACGCCCTCTGTGCGTGCTCCTGAGCCTCTCCATTTACCTGATTTATCTGGAAGTTCTAGTGATTTGTGTGTGTTCGCATATCATTTTCACAATTTAACCATGTACTACTTACACCGCTCGTGTTATGTACGCCCCCCCACCCTTATGACCCTTATGTCTCTGTGTTCTTCCTTATATCCTCCTCCGTCAACCAATCTTATCTAATTCACCCCTTGTACAATTTTGGTCGTAGTTGACTTCACTTGGATAATTATATCTTCTCAACTTTGTCGCTGCCTATTGTAGCCAAATCTTAAGTAAATCATTCTAAATAAACACTCTTGTTTATTTGTCTATAAGTTGTAAACCCAATAAATAATCCTTTCAGAACCCTAACTCATACTTCGTTGCATATGGGTGCCATTAGATGTACATGTCTTGCCATTCAATTTCCTATTTCTTAAATCATCGGTCTGCCCACGTCCTTGGTACACGTTATGCATTCCTTTTGACGTGTTGCCTGATATATATTTACCGCTGCGTCTTTTACCTATCCCATCCTTAATACTTGTTGTACTTGTGTTTTGGTCATTGCTTAGTACCTATGATCTTTAGCATCGACTGTTTGTGTACACTGCTTTGTCAACTGACGGGTGCACTGCGTAACCTTGTCTGCTCTATGTGAAGATTAAGTACCAGTCCGTATAACTCAAACTCTAATATTATTGTAACCTTGTAAAATAATATAGTATGCTACTGATTCTTTGTGTCGTAGTACTAAACGAGTCGGTACTAACCATGTACACCTCCCATTTCTACTACTGTAGATCCCAAAGAGCCTTCTTCTTTTCTTCTAACAACTCTTAACTATAGCTTAAGCTTATTGCTACTTGTACACTCTATTTATACTTGTCTCACACGAAAACAACCTTCCTACCTGCTCTTGTAAAAATAGCGGGTTCCTATTAATAGTTGCACAAATAACGGATATTATAAACGTATAGACGTATTAACATATATACTTATAACACTGGAATACGTTTAACGAATTGGACACTGAGATATTCAAGAGTCTGAACATGTGACTCAGTAGAGTATGGACTCTACTGTGGACAACTAGGTGGTTTTCCAAATATAGATTGGGTTTTCCACTGAAATTAGAATTGTATACGACACCAATCTGATACCTGAAAATAACACTTTGGGAATCTCTAATTAACGGAA